GGCGTCTGGAGACGCCTCCTACAAATGGGTGGTCTAACCTAAGCGGCGCGGTCGAGCGTGCTGTTGTTGGGTCGCTCCGCAAGACGGCTCTGCAGGTCGCTCACTTCGCGGCACAGTTCGCGGAACTCCTTCCGCAGTTGCGGCAGCTTTGCGATCGCGGCGATCTTGAGCTTCTGCTCGCGCACCGGCGTTGCGGGGGCGCCGAGCATCACCTCGCCTTCGGGGACATCGTTCGTGACGCCCGCCATCGCGGCGATGATCGCGCCCTTGCCGATGTGGATGTGGTCGCGAACTCCGACCTGGCCCGCCATGACGACGTAGTCGCCCGTCGAGGTGCTGCCGGCGATGCCGACCTGCGAGGCGAGCAGGTTGTGGCGGCCGATGCGACAGTTGTGCCCGATCTGCACGAGGTTATCGATCTTCGTGCCGTCGCCGATCTTCGTTGGGCCATAAACGCCGCGGTCGATCGTCGTGTTCGCGCCGATCTCAACGTCGTCGCCGACTTCGACCGAACCGAGTTGCGGCACCGGCGCGTGACGTCCATCGACGAGGCGATAGCCAAAACCGTCGGCGCCGAGCACCACGCCGCTGTGCAGCCGGCAGCGTTCGCCAACGACGGCGCCCTCGTAGAGCGTCACGCGTGGGGCGAGCATCGTGCCCGCGCCAACGCGGCAGTCGTCGCCGACAACCGTATTGGCGCCGATCATGGCGCCGTCGCCAATGACGGCTTCTTCACCGACAACCGCACACGCGCCGATCGAAACGTCGCGGCCGATCACCGCCGACGGGGCAATCACCGCGGTGGGATGAACGCCTGTGACGCTGCGCTCGCGACGTGGGCGGAAGTGGGTGACGATCGCCACGAACGCCGCGTGAACGTTGGCGACGCGGATCGCGGGGCGGCCGGGCTCAGTGACTCCCAGCGGCGCCACGAACGCAGCAGCGGCGCAGCCTTCGAGTTTGGGCAGGTTCTCGACCGAATCGACGAGGGTGATCGAGTGGGCGTCGCAGTCTTGCGGCGGCCAGGCGTTTCGGACGAGCGTCGCGGGGTCGCCATACACCTCGCCGCCAACCATTGCGGCGAGTTCCCCCAGGGTCAATGAGCCAGCCATGCGGTTCCTTCCGGGCCGTCGATCACGTCGCCGGAGCGCCCTCCTTGGGCCCCACGCATA